GAGTCTTTTGTGGGCAGAAAGCAAGATGCCCTTCAGCAGTTCCAGAAGGACTCTGTGGGGAGGAGGCGAGTTCAGGCGTGTGTGAGCGCAGCAGTAGCGGGAGCAGGCGCGGCTCCGCTAAGGGGACTGCTGCCCTGGCTCCCTTCGGAGGCTGGAGCACAAAGGGCTACGACATTGGTTCTCAGCCTCCCATCGTGTGTGCGCGGCCTTCTTACCTTGTCTACATTTGCATCATCCATACAAAATACTGATATGTTTTTCTTTAAACATTCAGAGTGGACTTTAGAATCTTCGCTCATGGTAATGTGTTAGAACATGTTATACGTTTTTCTGAATACAGATTAAAATACATAGTTACTAAAATTAAAAAAAAAATGCCCGTGAGCATGCTACCTAAAGCAACTCACAGGACGCCCGTGGAACGCACAGTGTAATACACTAAAAAGCTTAAAAAGCTGGCAAATATTCAACGAGAGGGATGCATGCTACTCCACTCTCCGGGTCTCCATTCCAATCCTGATGACAGAAGGTGGTGTTGGGCAGAGATTTGGGGCCCCTCTCTCCACTTTCTCTCTCACACCATCCCAAGCAACAGAGAAAAGACCTTTCTAAGACTTATAGGAGTTCGAGTCAAGTGCTTTCTTATTGTGCACTTGGCGTTCAGGACGCAGGGCTTCTTGCTCCCATGTTGGAGTGGGCTTGCGCGAGGATGCCTGCAGTTGCCTGGCCATTCCCGGCTCATTTCTGGAGGTGTAGTAGCAAACCCTGTTTCTGCTTGAGATCTAAGCCTCACTCTACCCAGCTTTGCTAGGGAACCCCATGATTTGGATGATAACATACATCTCAATCGCCTTCTGTCTCCTCTTTCTTACTCGTTCAAATTCCAACACAGCATGTAGTTACAAAAACAAGTGAAAGAATGAGAGAAGAAAATGTTGATGGAAGAAGATGCATGCAGCTATCGTACAGCAAAATACTGTGTGTATATAAACATTTAATGATCGCTTGTTATGAAAAAGTGTTTTTTAAAAAATTAATGAAACTTGATACTCAAATACTGTTGAGTTCTCCTTCCCCAACTTGGGGTTAGAGTCATGTAGCAGTCTAGTCTTTTTGGCTGAGTCTGTGCACACTGGAGCAGGGGCACCCTCCTTTGTTCCCTAGTCTCTGAGAAGCAATGAGATATACTAGAAAGAATATTGGCCTTGGGGTCGGGCCTGAGGACAGATTCTGGATGTTTGAAGTTGGGCAAATTACCTAGGCTCCCTGAATCTCAGGCTTTACGTGTGTAAAATGGCAACAATAACCCTCCTAGGGCTGTTGTGAGGATTAAAGGAAATGAGTGTGAGTCAGTGAGACTGCCATTCAGAAAGAAATTCACATCCATGTCTAGGTATCCACTGGGCATGTCCATATCTAGATAGCTTTTAAAGAGGTTTGACATCTTTCCCCTGCATGGAAGTGGAGCCTGAGCGGTCGTGCTTATATTCAGAGGCCTTTTTCAGCACAGATAAAATGCCAAAACAATAAAGAATTTGATAGGATGTGTACCTTTGTGCAAACAAGCTTACATAACAAAATGGTGCAGATAAACGCAGATGACAATGGACATTTATACATATACATATACAAATGTCATAAATGACATTTATACAAATAAATGAAATTATGTTTCTCTAGTATAAAAATAGATCAAATGGTAAGAGCACAAAAATAGGTGAAACGGTAACATAAACTGACTTGTGTAATCAGAGGGTCAAATCTTGACATTTTTCTCTCTAGGCCTTTTCTAATAGTTTTGTTGCTAAGGCTACAGTGTTTTTGCCAGATTGGAACAGCATTGTCAACTCTAATGAAGCTTAAGTAGCTTTCCCAACTAGATTTTTTTTAATAAGCATCAGTTAATACTGCTGGCTTTCAAAGCCATGTTCGTGATGAATGGAAAGATCTTTAAAGATCTGTTCTTAGAAAATGTAGCTCATAAAATTTGGAATTTAGCAGCATTTCTATTCCATAGTTATTCCAACACAAATTTTTATCACGGTTACACTGAACAAAATAACTTAAAATCTAATTTCACATATTTAATTAAAAAAAGAATAAGAAATTATTATTTACAACTTTAGCCAAAAATTAATTCCCTAAAGAGTAACTGAGGTTACTTAACGAACAATTCTTTTGACTAGTGGGTAAAGTGTCTCACAACTGCTCAGAAATGCACACTTGATTTATTCTTTGCACAATATGGATAAGTTACAGGAAGTCATCTGAGGAAAGTGTAAATACAAATGCACCCAAAGAGACGTAGAGTTTTGTAAAGCGGAGTAAATGAAAACCAGTTTGCTCTGGACACTCAATTGCTAAGAGGATGTCAAAGGTAAGAGCCATTAGGAAACGGGTGAAGAAACACTCCTTTTGATGTGCTTGCTGAGGAGCCAGATGAGCTTCCTTGGTCATGGACAGAAGAGACCATCTAAACTCTAAAAAATGTAGTGCAGTTTGCACGCCCGCTGATTCCGCAATTCTACTTGTGCACTAAAGCATGAGAATTAAATTAAATAATTCATGTGAAGTGCTTAGCCAATTACAGATGCTGTATTTCCTTCCTTGGATGTCTATATTTTTGTAGCCAGAAATCCCACTGTTAATTTCCAATAAGAAAAGCTGAATATTACAGCCTTTAAAGTCAAAAGTTCACCTTAATTTGAATATTGCAGCATTAGTGACATCTGGTGGAAAATGAGTTACAATGCGGCATTATAGCTATTCTGATCTTTCCTGTCTAATAATAATATTATCACTTTCATCACATTTTCACATACCCCTTTCCCCAACTCCATGGGAGGAGTATACTTCCCTGCCCCACTGAAGTTTGGCTCAGCCACAAGACTTGGCCAAAATCAGTGGAATGTGGGCAAAAATGTCAGTGTCAAAGTTTGGAAACTAAGCTTTAAAAGTCCTGGCTAGCTATTGCCCCTTCAATGGTAGAATGAAACATGTGACCTGCAGATTTGCATGAGAATAAAACAAGCACCCCAGATAATCCACAGACTTACAGGAAAAAAAAAAAATGCTTACGGTTATCCTATGGTTGTTTGCTATGAAGCAAAAGCCAACTAAAACATGAGATCGTTATACCTCTGTGTAAAATTCCCATCAAGGCTTGACTTCTCTGTCCAACTGATGACACTGGGAGAAGAGTCCTGAAGACCGGGTGTGGTTCAGTCCCATCTGGGGCTCTGTTTCAGACCTCGACAGGCCCAATCGGAACATGTTGTTTTCATTCCTGTACCTACGGTAAGCAAAACCGAGTCAGAGTCCAGGCCAGGCCTATCAGAGGCCTATCAGACTCTCTTGGAATCTTGGCTTCTCTGTTTAACATGGTATGGAAGTCACGCACATTTTGTTTTTGTTTTTTTTTTCCTTCCAAATCTTTATTTAAATTCTACTTAATTAACATATACTGTAATATTAGTTTCAGGAGAATTTAGTGATTCATCACTTACACGTAACACCCAGTACTCATCGGTCATTCACAATTCTTGAACCTGTTGGTTTAAATATCTCCCTCCTAAGGTGAGCTTCAGGTATAGGAAAGAAGGCAGGACAAGTTTAGCTGGAGCCATAGGCCAAAGCTTTTCCAATTGAGCTTTACCAACAAAGCTCATAGCTTTGTATTTGTATTTCTTAAATGATACATAATCTATAAGGGGGGAAATTAGCAATGTTAGAAATCACAAATTAAAAGTGATAATATTAGGGTCATTTAATTTGGTAAATAAAAACACAAATGACAGAAATTTAAGTATTACCAATGATATATTAAGAAAGTTGCTACCAGTGAGCTTTTGTGGGGGAAGAACCACATTATTTCCGGCCATTTAGCAGAGGCATTGTGTTTCCTAAAGCAGTTACTGCTTTCTGAAAAGAATTTCAAACTTTTGTCCCAAAAGTAGTTCCAGAATTTTCAACTCTCTCCATATTTTTACTGAACTTCCATTTCTGCTTTCTTTCTCAACCTAATGTGTCATGTTATGAAGGTTATGTACAGCCAAGAATTCAAATGTTTTAATCTTACTAGTGACCACTTTGTACTATATCTCATGTTGGAAAACCAGACTCTTGACCATACCTAATTCAAAATCATTTCCATTTCTGCATAACTACTTTTCTTATTCAGGCAAGAGTTGTGGGTGGACCTCTAAAATTAGATAGCTTCAACTCTCAAGGGAATGGGCTTTCGCAACAGCATTCACTACACCCATCATCAAATACGGGGACCTACACTTGTCTTGTAGTGAGAGAATTGCCCTTTATTCTTAACAGGCAGGCAACAGGATCAAACAGATCATTCAGGTGAAATAACAAAGACAAATACATATGTGATAAATCTGTGTAGTTACTTCTTGGAAGCTTGCCATGTACTTTCCTCTCCTTCATATCTCAAACTTCAGAAAGGCCAGGACCCTGTTTCAGTCATCCCAATACTTGGCACGTTAACAGGTGTTCACTTTGTAATTTTTGAAGGAATGGATACAGGCTATGTGTTTTTACTTTATAGTGAAGATTAACGAGTTAATACATATAAAGAGCTTAGAATAGTGCCTGATACTAAGCACTTAATTATTACAAAATGAGATAAGATTTAGAACAGAGATTAGAAGAGACTTTTTAGAAGTCTGCCTTCAACTGACCTTGGCAAAATAAGGAAGACTAGGCTAGCAATAAGGCTAGGAGTATAGAAAAGTTCTACAGCCCAACATACGCTAACAAATGACATGTATTATTTTATACAAAGAATGATGCTTATTTTAAGTCCACAGTTATAAGATTAAAGGGGTATAATCAAAGCTTGTCCATTAAATTGAAAGCACCTCCAGACTGACTCAAGTTTGTATTCTTAGGCCCTGGTAGGTACAAGATATTATTTGCTATACTGAATCCATCCTGCTATTTAACTGTGTTAATACCACACCAATATAAAAATATGTTAAGACAAATTAAAATATACATACTTAACTTTATTACATCATTTAAAGCTTGATTTTATAAAACATAAAAAAAATGTTTAAGTGTTCTGTATCACAGGAATTTAAACAGTGGCAATATACATAGCTTTGTAAGTTCAAGTTATATAAATTAAAATCAAATAATTGGAAATGCTTTTAATACGGAAAATATACAAATAAAATAAATGGCAAAAGGACCTAACAGGAGCAGTATTTCATTACTTACAGATTATCATTAGATAATTTCAGGATCTAAACAAAGACTCTGAATTTTCAGACTTCTTTTGCTGTATTTTATATTTAAATATCTCCCTACCTATATTCCGAATCAAGGTACTTGACCAAAAGGTTTAAGAAGGCATTTAGCTTTATGGCAAAAGCTTTCCATCTACAGTTACCACCTTTAAAGGAATTGACATTAACAATGCTGATGTAATCTGCTAGTTCCCTTCTGAACAATGTGCAATAATTTATACCAACCCTGTATAAAGTCATACGGGTACCAAAAAATGGAACAATTATGCACAGTTCAATAGAAGTATAATGTTAAGTTTTCCCCATCTAAAAATTAACCAGTGAAACAAAATGTATCAACTATAGTTGACTTGGTTTCAGGAAAACCACATCTGAGAGTTATAAGTACATCACTGTCCTTATCTTATCCTCAGTCATTGACAGGAATTTTGTAGGCCACCATGCTATTTACTTTGTGGATTGTAGTAGTAAATGAACGAAGGGACGGACTTCCTTAGAATTGGTAATAAACTGTGGTCCCGACTCTTCCCATTTTTCAGGTACAACCAAATCTTTGTCTGTATGTATCAGTAGATCAAATGAACCTAAATTGGGGATAAGATCATTAAAGTACAATTATTTTTTTCTAAAGTACAACCACCCTTCCTGTGTCTTTCACATTTGAACCATCTATAGTGTCAGAAAAGCTAGTTTACCTTGATCTCTAATCAATTATATTAACTAATTGCTTTTCCTCAATGGAAATTTTAGTACAGAAAATACTGTACTCCTTTTACTTTATGAAAAACTCAAGTTTTTTTTTTAAAGAGAAAACCACTAAAAATATTTGCAGAAAGTATACAATTAATCATGAGACAGCATGAATCTAAGCCATAGAAAAGATAATACCTTGGTTCTGTGACAGCTGTATCCCAGTGCCCAGAACAGCATCTGGCATGTAGTAGGTATTTAGGATATATCTGATGAATGAAGGAGTAACTAAGAAAACAAAGACACAATTATAGCTATAAATCTTAATTATATACATAGAAATGTGTAGAAAATAAAAATAATGACAAATGACATCAAAATATTCAAGAGTGAGTACTGTAGAATACTTTCATTGCTTTCCTTTTCAGCACTTGTAAATAAAATGCAAATAGCATTACTTTAGCTTTATCACAGTTTTCTCATTCATATAACATGACATTTATAATTAAGAAAAAACTTAATGAGCGCGTTAATTCTTAAAGTAGTAGCTTAGTCTTTTCCACAACAAATTTAAGCCAGTGTGAAGTTGTATAATACTTACAAGAAACTTCCAATAGTGGCAGAAATGTCACCGTAGCTGTGATCTGTCTGATCACTGAACGGATTTCATCTTGGATAGCTTTCTGAGACTTTTCTCTGGGTGCACTATCAAAGAAACCAATTAATTCATTTTAAGTTTTAACAAGTTATTTGAAACACAGGTAAGATTATTTATCTGATTAAATGCTTCCAAAATCAAATAAGTAATGCATTCAAAAGGAGTTTTTTTTTAAATGAAAATAAATATATGTCCTTAAGAAACTTAGTAGGCACAATATGTATCTCTATTATTTCATTTATCCTTCCAATCATTTTTTAGGGTTGTTCTTAGTATCAAGTCATTAAATAACAGATGACTAGAAAACCTGCCAAGTACTTCAAGTCAGGAAAGCTTCAGCATGTCTTAAAATAAAGATAACAAGGAGTATCTAAAATATTGAATCGGTATAATCATTTTGGCATTTTTAGTAATGCCTAAATGTCTAATTTCCTATTGCCTCAAATAAGATGTTACTCGTGTATGGCGTTAATAATTAAACATTTTCTAAAACAGACCAAAGGCTTCAGGAGCAAACTCCATCATTTCATTATGAGAGAGAGTTCAGAGTTTACAGGTAAGCATGCCTAGGACAATGCTAGAAATTAGCATATAATGATGGGCATCTCCCATCCAGATAATCTAAAAACTTCAGTTTAATGTCTAAGGAGGGGCGCCTGGGTGGCTCAGTTAGTTAAGCGACTGCCTTTGGCTCAGGTCATGATTCCCGGGTCCTGGGATTGAGCCCCACATCGGGCTCCCTGCTTGGCGGGAAGCCTGCTTCTCCCTCTCCCACTCCCCGTTTATGTTCCCTCTCTCGCATGCTCTATTAAATAAATAAATAAAATCCTAAAAAAAAAAAAAAAAGGAATGTCTAAGAAGTTTGTAGCATTAAATGAAATACAGTAGAGCTGCACAGTAAGCTGGGAGAAAGTCTAGGATAATACTTCATGGTTAAAAGTACCTTTCTACAATTCATGAAATGGCCCACCTAGGACGGACACCATGGTAGCTTTACATATAGCATCATAAACACTAAAGTTTGAAATTTATGGATTTAGCCTAAGCGCAATGATGTTAAAAGTCCGTGATAGGCAAAATTCTTTCGTGAGCACAATTTGTGAGCCCAATCCTTCTCCACAGGAGATTAAAGATCACATCTAACATACTTAGAAACAAACTACTTTATATGAAACTAGTTCAATATAAGTAGAACTCATCTAGTAAAAGAAAACAGTTTTGGAAAAAGATCTGTAAAAATGGAAGCAATTTACTTCATACTTACCTGTCATCTTTTGCAGTCTTGTCACACTCAATATCAAATTGCCACCTTTCAAGGACCTCACCAGTTTCTGAACTGAACACGTGTATAACCAATCTGCAATACATAACAAGGAATCTTTTTTGTTTCACTGCATTACAAAACAACTCTCTTCCCAGGTCTCACTTTCTATCCTCAGCAAATTCCTACCGCTAGTATTTCGGAACTCTGCCAACCTGTACAGAAAACCTGCCCCACAATAACCTAGCTCCTGTTTTCAAATTCTCAGTATTTGTACCAGATATAGTACTGAGTGCTGAAGACAGAGTAGAAAACAGGAAGTACACCCTAATCCAAGTAAGATGCAGGAGATGGCCATTAATCTAATCACTGCACCGATAAATATAAGATTCTAATTGTGGTAAACGCTATGAAGGTGCAGTATGTGACGCAATGAGAGCATAATAGAGGAAAACTGGACTCACTCAGGGAGTTCTCACTTGACTTCAGTTCTACAAATAAATTATCATTAAATATGCAAAATGATACAGAAAAGGGTACAGGTCTTAAATATTGAAAAGGGAAGAGCATCTGACCAGAGGATTGAAAGAAGGGTAATACAACTGCAGTAAAGAAAGGGGAGAATGAACAAGGTCAGTTTGTGTACGATACACAGGGGTCAGACCACGCAAGGCCATATGGGCCAAATTAAAGAAGTTACACTTCAAGAACCAGGGAAGTCATTACTGTATTTGAAGTATGGTATGATGTAATTAAATTTGTATTTCAGAACTATCCTTCTGGCTGTGATGTGGAAAGTAGAGTAGAGGTAAAGAGGGGATCTAGAGACACCAATTAATTAGCAATTCAAGCAAGAGGTAATGAAGGCTTAGAGAAGGATAAGCTGGTAGAGATGGATCAGTAGATAGATTCAAGAGATTTCATGGTTCAAACTGTTAGGATTTATTGACTACTTATGAGTAAGCAAGAAGAAAGACTGAGATAGCTCCCAACTTCCTAGTTTATATCACTAGTTGGATGGCTGATCCATTCACTGAGAAAAAGAATGCAAATGGGAGATGATGCTTAAGTTTTAAGATTTTATTTTTAAGTAATCTCCACACCCAACATGGGGCTGCAACTTCATATCTCGAGATCAAGAGTTGCATGCTCCATTGACTGAGCCAGCCAGGAGCGCCTTAAGTTTAGTTTTCAGGTATCACTGCGATAGCCAGATGAAGATATCAACGGAGCCACAAAATATATGAGCACAATTAAGAGAATTGGGTTGGATGTACATTTGTGAGTCAACTACACCAAGGTTGTTAGTGAAGCTATGTACATGTCAGAGATCATCCTAGAGAGAGATTATAGTGAGAAGAGGGCCTCAGGACAAGCCCTGAATTAATCTTGGAAATTGGGATAGTATACTCAGGAATCTGTAGTGTTTTTTTTTCTTTTTTTAAGAGACAAAACAATTTTGTAATATTTAGGGCTTGTGGGCCACCTAGGTCTCTGTTGCATAGTCTTTAAAAAACAGCCCTTTAAAAATCTGAAAACAGGGCACCTGGGTGGCTCAGTTGGTTAAGCGACTGCCTTCGGCTCAGGTCATGATCCTGGAGTCCCGGGATCGAGTCCCGCATTGGGCTCCCTGCTCAGCAGGGAGTCTGCTTCTCCCTCTGACCCTCCCCCCTCTCATGCTCTATCTCATTCTCTCTCTCAAATAAATAAAATCTTAAAAAAAAAAAAAAAATCTGAAAACATTCTTAGTTTGCAGGCAGTACAAAAATAGCCACTTGCTAGACACGGGCTGTCGTATGTATCAACTTTTTCTTGACATATATCAACTTTTTCTCAATTTAGCTCTGAAAAGGAAGAAATTGGGTAGTAACTTAAGGATTTGGGGTGGGTGGAAATTTTTTTCTTTTAAAACTGAAGAGAGATCAAAACAAAGAAATCAAAAATACCAGAGAAGAACTAGGATAAAATCCTTAAGGCTAGAGGAATGGGGATTCAGATTGAACAATTTGCCTCTAAGAAGAGCAATTCCTCCATTTTAACTAAAATAAAAGGGAGAAATTAAATAGGAAGGTCTGCATACATCCGAGGTGAAGAAATATCCTCAGTGTAGTCTTAAAGGAGACAACCCAAAAACCAGTAGCTTAGGTGGGGCTTGCTTCTCCATCAAATTAAGATGACATAGATTATTAGTTGCTTACTAATAATCTTACTTTTTAGCCCTGAATAAAAAAAAAAAAAACAATCTAATTTTAAAAATAAAGCTACTTGATACAAAGAAATATATATGACTCATGAATTAAGAAAAAAAGATGACTAGTGTTTTTTGGAACTAGTTTTGGAAGATCAAATGGGGAGCTAGGGAGAAACATCCTACAACAGAAAAATTAGAAGTGGGAATCCTAAGTAGAGAAAAATATGAGGGGAAAAAGGAATAGATGGAGAACAAGTATTGATTCAATATAGTAATTTCTTGAGCTAAAGAAAAACAGTGAGTGCTCAGATAGAAAAGGCTTACTGATTAAAGGCAGGATTTTAAAAAAGACAAATGGAAATATATAAAAAATAAAACTCTACTGGGTGCTCTATTACTTAGTAGTTCTTTTCTTTAAGTTTAGTTTCCAGGTTGGATCCAATTTTATTTTCCTTTAAGTAATGATGGCTTTAAACTCTAGGCAGTTACAGAAAATATATGTTAAAAATATACAGTGGATTTTTCTCCAATAGTGAACACCATCATAAGGACAGAAAATTCCAACTTGTTCCATCTGGCTACATGAACTGCAAAAATCATTTCTAAGGAAGTTGATGGAGACAGTTTTGTGAAGCCATATCAGATTCCTAATATCAAAATATTCAACCCACTCAAACTGCAGTATGGGAAGGGTGGACTTTCTTTCAATTTATATATTATTTGCTTCCTTCCAATTAAGAATCACTATATTTGAGGTTGTAGTGTTTTATACCTTTTTGTACAGAGCTGAAAAATGACCATCAAGATGCCAGAAAATATGGGTTCTACAAGGCCTGCAAAACTCAAAATGGTTTGCAACAATTAAATACCTTTCAGCTGTTCCACCACATCATTTAGGTATTTTATGAGCTCAGGATCAGTTGTTACAAGCAAGGTGAGTCCATATTTCTGCACTCTAGTAAAGGTTTCAGATGGATATATGCCACGCTGATATAAAATGCTGTTGATGCCAAATGCTGGAAACAAAAGGAATGTTAAAGAAAAGTCATTATCACTTTGTAACTCTGGAAAATAAAACATATTTAGATGTGGCTACGTTTCATTAATGGCATAAAACCATAAATGCCTTAACGTGTTTGTGGGTGTCTTGCTGAAAGCAGAGTAGGTAAAAAGTGGCATTAAACATTCTTAAAACCTTGCTTCTAATTAAGAGAGAACACGATACCTGCATTTCTGTGGCAAAAAAAGAGAAAAACGCCAAACTGCATTAATCTACTGTCAAAGTAGTACTACAACTCACTGTAATCCAAGTCCCAATTCAGATTATGTGGTTAGAGGGTGTCAAAATAGGCTTTTGCATCTCAGTTAGCAACTGATTAACTGTTCTCTGCAATGCTCTCAGCAAACCTTTCCCTCTTTTTCCTCCTTTTCTCCTCACAAGTCCTGCCAGATTCTATCAGAAGGCACAACTGTCCTGGTCCGGAATGGCCTTTCCTAAATCTAGTCCATCACCGCCAATACCAGAATCAAAGAGGGGCCGAGGGGTTGTTAAAAATATACGTGGCCCCCACCCCGGCCCTACGCCCTCTTAAGTCGCGGAGGCTGGGGGCGGGCGGAAAGGGCCTGGCTCTGTAGTTGAAAGCAACGCTGCAGGTGGAGGGGCTACATCGCGCCGCAGGCCTCAGCAGCCCCTAGGCCTCAAGCTCCACCATTAGCAAGGAGCCCGGAGGCGGCGTCTGCATCCGCTTCTTCCTAGATTCTCCCGCCGGGCAGGAGGCTGGGGCAGAGAGAGCTTAATTCTCGGCCTCGCGGCCTCGCGGCCTCCCCTCCGCCCCCTACCGCTTCCCCCGCCTCCGTGGCTGAGCCACGGGCCTACCGGGCGGCCTGGCCTCAGTTCACCCCGCCCTCCGGCCTGCGCGAGGAGGACTTACAGAAGAACTCGGCCACGGTTTCGGCGCTCCCGCGCAGGGTGATGCCTTGCTCCCGGGAGAGCTGCAGCGCCATGGCCAGTCCTACAGACGAAGGAGTGCGCTTCCCCCCGGCAGAGAGCGACAGCAGAGACGCCCACAGCAGTTCCCCGCCACTCGTTTCAAAAGTAACGGCGCAGCACGCCCTCGGGCCTCGGCGCAGGCGCGATGAGCCTCTAGGCCCCGCCCCGTGGGGCGGGGCCTGCAGGTCCTCTGGGCGCTTTTCGGAGCTGGCCTGTCCGCAGGCGCAGGGGGTAGGCGTGGTCGCCCAGTTCTGGGTGGTCAAGCTCCGCAGGGTCCCGGCTGGGCCTGTGTAGTTGTGGTCTACTAGACCGGCCTGAGGGAAGAAGACGCCAAAACCTGGTGTGTTTTTTTGTTTTTTTAAAGATTTTATTTATTGGGGCGCCTGGGTGGCTCAGTCGTTAGGCGTCTGCCTTCAGCTCAGGTCGTGGTCCCAGGGTCTTGGGATCGAGCCCCGCATCGGGCTCCCTGCTCTGCGGGGGGCCTGCTTCTCCCTGTCCCACTCCCCCTGCTTGTGTTTCCTCTCTCATTGTCTCTCTCTGTCAAATAAATGGATAAAAATCTTTAAAAAAAAAAAAAAAGATTTTATTTATTCATTTGAGAGAGAGCACATGAGGGGGGGGGTCAGAGGGAGAAGCAGACTCCCCGCCCAGCAGGGAGCCCGATGAGGGACTCGATCCAGGGACTCCAGGATCATGACCTGAGCCGAAGGCAGTCGCTATAACCAACTGAGCCACCCAGGCGCCCCAAAACCTGGTTTTAATGGCCGCTCCGTAGGCGTGCGGAGTGAGCGACCAAGGAGCACAATTTGTCAGTTTCAGAGCTGTTTTCAAGGTGATATGAACTGTCCGTCAGCCGCATCTTAAGTGGCCCCAGTGATCCCTAGATTGAAACTAGCGATTGAAACTTTTCCTAGATGCTTTGGGAGTCAGTAAAGAAACCGCGTGCGCGGTAGCCAAGCCACAGCTTGAGAGAGCCTGATTACTCTATGGAATCGCGGCTTTTCTTGAGAAATTGGGTTAGGCTTAAAGGGATGAGCCGCGGCCTTTTTTGTCCTGTGTTTTTGTCTATCCTGGGCTCAGCCTATTTCCACCCAGTTCCGCTGTGAGGCAGTCTGGAGCGGCAGGGACTGCAGTCGAACTTAGGCCTGGTCTACCCCGCGCGTACGCTGCACCCACAGACGCCGATGAGGAATAAGATCTCATTCATCAAAAAGGCCCACGTACACTGAAGAACTTTTCAGGGAATTTTGACTCACAAACTCATTGACTTCCTGTTAGGATGAGAAGTACTAAAGGGCACAATTACTGTTCATGTCAATTACGGAACAACTTTATTCTTAAAGCAGCTAGAAAAATTATTTGTAAAATGAAGTCTCAAAAACTATGTACCAGCTATACTATTGAATTATGAGAAATGCATTCGTGTTTTATTTTTCTATTAACAAATTACCACAAATTAATGGTTTAAAATAACACCCATTCATTATCTTAGTCGTGAAGATCAGGAGTTCGTATGATATAGCTGGATGCTCTGCTTAAGAGTCTCCCATGGTTGAAATAAAGGTGTCTGCAAGTGGAATCTCATCGAAGATCTGGGGTTCTCTTCCAAGCCCCTTGGTTGTTGGCAGAATTAATATCCTTGTTTCTTGGACTGAGGTGGTTTTGCTAGTTGTTGGCCAGAGGCAAATTTTGTGCCTTTGCCAGGTAGTTCTTCCATAGGCCTTCTCATACTTTCAGTCTCTCAGACTTGATGGAGATCCCTTTTAAGGATTCATCTGATTAGGTTAGACCTAGTCAGATAATTTCCTCTTTGATGAATTTAATCCGGGAAGTGATATCCCATCATATTCACAGGTTCTGGCCACACTCAAGCAGAGGAGATTATTTATATAAGATGTGCTCCTTAGAGGCCATGGATTTTGTGGCCATCTTAGAATGCTGCTTATGACAGTGTTACATATCAGATTTTGATCCGTTTGAAGAGTAAAACATAGGTAATAGGCCGAGTAATCCTAAAATATTTTCCTTACATCCTTTAGTCTCTTGTACCTGTGTGTTTGTGTGTTTGACTCACCATCTTTTCACTCCTTCCACCAGGAACTTAGCATCAGAATTCTGGCATCACACTGGTAGAGCATGATGCCCACCTTACTACAAATAAAAATTGTTTCTCTTTCTAAGGAACTTTATGTCAGTACAGAGCACTTCAGGAAAGACTTTCTTCAGTTTCATGGTAATATAGTTTTGAAATTACCTGAAGATACAAATAATTGTTAGTATAATTTTGGAGATTCTAGAGCTTAAAAGGCTGGCAAAATAGATGTTTTCCATATATAGAAGTATTAAATATTTTTTTTGTGCTCTGTGAGATGTAAGAAATAATTATGTTTAGAAGACCAAGTCTGTACTTTTTGAGGAGTTTGTAATCTAGTTTTGTTTAAATATGCATACTTGAGGGGCGCCTGGGTTGCTCAGTCTTCAGCGTCTGCCTTCGGCTCAGGTCATGATCCCAGGGTCCTGGGATGGGAACCCCATTGGGCTTCCTGCTCAGCGGGGAGCCTGCCTCTTCCTTTCCCACTCCCCCTGCTTGTGTTCCTGCTCTCACTCTCTCTCTCTCTGTCAAATAAATAAAATCTTTAAAAAAATAAATAAATATGCATACTTGAAAAAAAGAAAAATTGAAGTCTCATAATTTGGCCTTATCTGGCTTCTGCCTAACTCTTCGGCTGCCTTTCAGATTACTTTCCTAATCTGCCCGTTCCTTTAGTCATTTTTCCACCTCAGGGCTTTTCGTAATGTGCTTTTTTCTGCCTAGAAATTTCTATCCATTCAAATTGCTAATTATATTTATACTTTTTTTTTTTTACTTAAATGTAACTGTATTCTAGAAATTTTCTTTGACCTCTCGGACTATAAAATCCTGCCCTGTGCATTCTCATAGCATCTCAGAACACTATTTCAGAGCATTGTTTTCATTCTTACAATGAAAACAATGACATTGTAATAATTACGTCATGATTTGTGTTATATCTTCCTTGTCACCATGGAGGATCCATGATGACAGTGGCTAGTCCAACAATATTTGTTGAATGAATGATCATTTGAATACTTGCCTAGGAAAATTTCATGGAAGAACCCAAGACATTTTCAAATTGGAGAGCAGGTTGGATGGATGAGGTGAGGCCACATTTTGGGAGCTTTGAATATCCATCTGAAATAAGTTGGACGTACCAGGGATTTCTAGGCTCTTAGAATTGACATAATTAAAGGGGTATTTTTTTCAAGTGTAAATTCAGTAGTGGTTGTAGAATGGATCGTATATAGGACGGTCTCGAGTGGTGGTCCTCAAACTTGAGAGTGTGAAAGAATCACTTGGGTATTTTGCTATATGTAGATTCCTGACTTTTATTCTCCCTTCTCCAAATCTAATTCAGTCCAGTACCATAGCCACTAGCCACAGGTGGCTCTTAGGCACTTGAAATGTGCTTGTCTGAACTGAGATATGCTACAAGTATAAGAATACCAGATTTCAAAGACTTAGTATAAAAAAAAAGAATGTAAAGTATCACAGTGATATGTCTTTCAATCGATTACATATTGAAATGATATTTTCACATGTATTGGATTTATTTCACTTGTTTCATTTTAGTTTTTTAATCTGACTACAAGAACATTTAAAATTACATGTGTGACTCATGTGAGATTTCTGTTGGACAGTGCTGGTCTACTTTATGGGGTCTAGGAGATGACATGTTTTAACCAGCATCCCAAATGATCCTTACATTACTTTTAGAAAAGCATTAGACCATAATGGATATTTTAGTATTGCAGGCCCAGGAGGGCCTAGGAGGTTGAGAACCTGGACTAGATGGATGCCAAAGAGTTGGAATAATGAATCATGGAACACTACATCAAAAACTAAAAAAAAAAAAAAAAAGAAGGTATACATATACATATGTATATATATGAGAGCAAGCTATTTGGAGGCAAGAATTGAATCGATGACTTAAAAGGGAGAAGAATGTACTGGTAGTACAGATAAATCCAAGGTGGCAAGCCTGCACTACAGGCTAGTGTTGGTGAAGTCTATGGGTATGTTAGGAAGAACTGCCCAAACTCAGCCTATTTTATTTCTTATTTATCACATAAACACTTAAGTTTCCAGAAGCTTTGGAGAGATGTCTTTCCTATTAATTTTAATTGCTCCATTCGACATTGACCTATCTTATCTAAACCATCTTATCTTTATAGAATGTTTTTTAAAAACTTGTTTTCAGTTACTTGAGTTTAGATTTATTTATAATTCAGTGAAGTCCTTCTAATATTTGGGGGAAAGCTATTTGGACAGTGAGAAGTATAAATATAAATTAAGATTTATTTCTGAAGAAAATTCAAGCAGAGAGCATAACCAAACAAACCCATATCACCAAAAGAGATAACTATGAAAAAGTGTGTCATAAACAGGCTTAAATTCAATATTAGGATGCTAAAACCAGAAATGAAAATTTCTAAAGCTAGAATCAAATGGAATTTTAGACTGAAAGTAACTTAATTAATGACTTAGTAGAACAATCTTATAGTTGAGGAAACTGAGGTCCTGAGTGGATACATGGTTAGTCTAAGATTCAATATCTAGTTAGAAGATTTAATAGTAGAATCTAGAGTTTCTGACTTAGTCTCTTGTTGAATTTTATCAATTTGAAGACATGCTAATTAATGCTCTTGTTTTTAAAGGCTATTTTTAAAAAATCAACTGATTTTAGATTAAGGGTTTTTTTTTTTTTTTTAAGATTTATTTATTTATTTTAGAGAGAGAGAGAGGAGCATGAGTGGGAAGGGAAGAGGGAGAGGGACAGAGAATCTCAAGCAGACTCTATGCTGAGCGAGGAGCCCCACATGGGGCTCAGTCCCAGGATCCTAAGATCATGATCTGAGCCAAAACCAAGTGTTGGACCCCTAACTGACTAAGCTACCCAGGTGCCCCAAGATTAAGGGGTTTTATTCAATAAACTGTACATATAACTTGTCAAGAAAACGGCAGTTACAATCCATAATGCATTTTATGTTAATACACAAATTGTTTCAACTGCGCCACAAGATGGCGCTATTTACACGTGAAATAATACCTTTCAAAAATTCAGTGCATATGTTTCAATTTGTGCTTCAGTTCAAAGTAAAATTAAGGGAAAATGTATTTAGTGGCTTCTAAGGTATCGGTATATGTGAAATACATCAGAATGAAAGATTGTTCATGATATACTACAGAATTCATATATTATAAACATTTAGTATATGGATGCTCACTATATTTACACTTAATTTACATATTGTTTTTTACATGGAAAAAGGAAACATTTTAGGTAGTTGAATCATTATTCTTGCAGACTTACGAAAGTTTTCCTTCAGATCACTAGGTGTTATTTTATTCTTGAGGCCAACATCTTGACATAAAGCAGTTTGTTCTAAATCTGTTAAAGCAGAGGGATACTTTATGATAATTTTTGAAAAAAATTACTGTGCACATAGGTAATAAATTAATTATTAATTATGTCAGTTTGCAGATTGTGCTTTTTTCTTTTTAAAAAAAGGATGTTGTCATAAAGACCTATTTTCCTCACATACTTTCCCGCTAAGGACTTTCTTTGATTGTTGGTCCACATGTTCAAAAAGATAGCACAACAAATTTGAATCATGACATTGTATTAATAAGCAATGGCTTAATAGAGTGAACAAATATAACCCCATACTGGTGTAATTTATAATTTTTAATGATCCAGTTGATATACAGGATATTATAATCTTTTCTTTAGTAAAAATTGAGAAAATATTATTGAGAACCAAATATTATTGAGAACATAGTAATAATTCCATAAGTTCTTATAATGAAAAATATGGGCTGTTTCTTATCAGAAAGTATTACTGTGCTTTCTTATGATTTTGTTTTGATATTATAATTCTCTTATGATAATGGCATATAATCACTTAGAAGTCTTTTCATGGCTCAACCAGGATTAGGTGTCAAAGGTATAATTTTAAAGGCAGGTGATAGTCTTATGCATAGTTAATCCCCAGACTGATGGAATGTGTGTGTGTGTGTGTGTGTGTGTGTGTGTGTGTGTAACATATATATGAAGAATGGGTTCTGCAATCAGTTGGATTTGACAGCACGGTGTATTTTGAAATGTAATTGAAGCTCAAAACAACTCAGAACAGTTTCAGGTACAGAAACTATCAACACAAAGCCTCTATGAAGAATGAAAAAGCCATGGTTGCTATTAAATTAATAAAAATAGATTTAATTTCTTAAATGATTTTATAATTATATATTAAATCTCATCAAACATTCTATGCCTATCATACATTTTTTGTTTGTTGTTTCTGAATATTCTGTATATAGGGTTATTTTTATTATTGCCCATATGTAAGTAAAGGTGAATTAGTTCTGCTAAATCTGTCAACTAATAATTAGACCAAAATTGTATCTGAGTGAATAGAAAGATATTTTTTGAGGAGTTCTACAGACAAAATAAAATAAACCATAAATTTGGGTCTTTCTCAAATATTTGTGAATACCAACTTATAAAACACTCATGAGAAGACAAAGCTTTGTGAAAACATGGAAAATCACTTTACTTTAAATTTATATTTTTCTATTTAGATAAACTTGGTTCTGTCACCTGGAACTGTTCTCTTATAAGCTGCCTTGTGTTTATAGCTCATTCAAACAATATAGTAGTCAAGCCATATTTATCAGGTTACAGATCAGTCATGCACGTTAATTCTATTATTTCTGCTGGGATTTCCCACTTAAAAATTGATTATGACAGTGGTTTTTATTCTTGAGTAATGTACATAGTCTGTTCAACATCAACTGACAACAAAACGTCTTACTGAACCCTAGAGTTTTTGGTTTAGTGTTGGAGATCAAGTGGATTAAAAAATAAATGGTATCTTTTTATTATTGCTTAGTTTCGGTATAGTTGTAAATAAAGATGCTAACTTTTCACACTGAAATAGATGGCAATTATCTGTTGTAAGGCTGTCTTTTGGATGATCCAGAATATACCTTTTTAAGCCCGTGTTACATTCATATCAAAAGGAGACTTGAAATGAAGTTTCATTAATTTGTTTATCTCCAAGAATATTCTTGCAGACCCTTGTCTGAGAAACAGCAGGCCGTAGCATTCAGATATTCAAAATGTATTCACAGAATTTTGATATTCTTAAAAGTGAGGTGTGGTTATGAGTTTGTATAATTAAGAGTTATTGATGAGATGGGTTCCTTTTTGGGTTTGGAATTTTACATTAAGATTCTTATTAAATTTGAGTTATCTTTAGTTTCCATTGAATTAATAAGAAATTATAATATTTAACTCCTAAAGGCAGCCGAATATACTACTGTAACACTGTTAAGCGTCTTAGGGACTTAAAAAGTTCTGTGCTGCTCTCAGATGGCTGCCTGCCTGAGGAAAAAGATCAGGAGTGTGGGAAGGGCAGGCCATTACTTAATGCCTCAGGTCCCCCTGGAACTTGACGGAAGGTTATTTGAAGGACCCTGGAAATGTGTATATACCTTCCTCTTTTCTTTCTCAAAGATCTTGTTTAAAATAGTGTATCCCATTAGGAATAGAAAAAATGATGAATATACACCAATATAGGTTTATTTATCTCTAAATTATAAACTTTTCCAGACTATTAGGTACATGTAGTATATACTATATATTTATATATATTTAAAATATATATGTATTTCAAATGTTATATTTTATATATGTTATATTTAAACATAATAAATATGTATATATTTAAAACATACACAAGTTAGAAATTAAAGAAAGATGAGATGAATGTTTCTTTCGTTTTTTTTTTGTTTTTTTTTTTATTTGAGAGAGAGAGAATGAGAGAGAGCACATGAGAGGGGGGAGGGTCAGAGGGAGAAGCAGACTCCCTGCCGAGCAGGGAGCCCGATGCGGGGCTCGATCCAGGGACTCCAGGATCATGGCCTGAGCCGAAGGCAGTCGCCCAACCAACTGAGCCACCCAGGCGCCCGAGATGAATGTTTCTTTTAAAAATGATACTTGTTGGAGCACCTGGGTGGCCCAGTAGGCTAAGCGTCTGACTCTTGGTTTCAGTTCAGGTCATGATCTCAGGGTTGTGAGATTGAGCCCCCACCTCTGGCTCTGAGCTCAGCTCAGCTCTGAGTCTGCTCCAGATTCTCTCTCCCTCTCCAGTCTCTCCCACTCTGTTCCTCCCCCCCACTCAGGCTCGCTCTCTTTCTCTCTAGAATAAATAAATAAAATCTTTAAAAATGATTCTTGTTATATCACTAGAAAATAATTTATTTTTATGTTCACTAAATGTATTAATAACTCTATTAAAATTTATGTGGTTAATATGCCTCATTTTTAAAAAAAATTTGGTTTAATTATTTGTAAATGATTTAAAAGTCTGATACTGAGTTCAGTTTATTTTAATACTTGGGAGTTTTTTGGTTTGTTTTTGAAGTTTTTGTTTTTAGGAGGATACAAATGGAAGAAGTCCATTAATGACTTATTTATTTATATTTATCTGTATTTTTATAGTTTTAACAAATGGATCTAAAACCAAAGATTTAAGCAGTTTTCGCCCATTTCTTAAAAATATGAAAACACATCTTTCTATTAGTTTGGAATTAATTGTTCCCATCTTTTAATTGCCTTTGGAACTAATTTGTAATTTAGAAAAATTACAAATGGATTAGAAAAATTTGTTTCCAAGGTTTTCAATTGTACAGATGAAGTTTTTTTTAAAAAAATAATCGATACAAACATGCTGTCTCAGCAGCATGACTGTCTTTTGAAAATCATTTGCTCATTCATTTAAAAAAGTCACTTTTCCTTTTTAAGAACATATTGAGTGTTAATTTTTCTGAAATTCTTCTTAGATAGCACAGTACCGAGTGTTGCCTACATAGAGAAAGGGTGAGTAAATTTGAAACAGTTGGCCTTCATTTCCTCAATCTACCAACAGTGACCTGTAACTTTCTGATAGGGTGCTGGTGTCAATCTATTTGTTACATTTTAGTACAGTTTAGTGTATTTTCTTAGATTAAAAAATCAATATAAGTAGACATTCTAACAGTTCTTCTTATACCCCCAAGGGACTATTTTGTGCACATATTCCACTTTGGAAACCATTAGTTAAAAGTATGTTTACAGGAAGGATAAGGTACCCTGAGTTGGGGACAGTAGTGTTCCTTGCTTGCCCCCCCTCTCAGGTACACATGGAATAGACAAATGTAGCTTGGATGACTGACTTGCCTGTGTGGAATGTGAGCTCTCATTCTCCATGCCAGCTTCTGCCAGATCAATCCTGTGAGGAAAAGACATTATTTTTATTGGGAAAAGGTGCCCCAGACTTTTGAACACCATTTTCCACTTAAACCTGCTGAAGGCACAGAATAAAAACCCTCTTCGGAGTTTCAACAGATTCTTATATGGTAAAAGTCCACTTGGAACACATGAAAAAACTTTACTACTTGTAGCATAGAGGTGGAAGGTCATGGCATTGTCTAAGGAAGCAACAATGTCCAACCAATCTACCAGAAGCAGAGTTCACAGGCACATGTGCAAGTAAAAGGTGTCATCCTCGCATGTTCTAGAGAAATATTTTAGAGGTGGAATATCTGGACAATTTAAGAAGAATTCTGTAAGGATATTTTTTCCCTCACCTGTAAAATGGAGGTAACGATAATACTTGTGACAAAATTTTTGTGAGGATTACAGGAGATAATACAACTGAAGCTTTGGTTTATTGTTAATATATTATTCTTGTTATTGCTATATTCTTGTCATTATAAATTATTGTTATTATTATTTAGATAGCTTTTCTTCCACTTTCCCAAGTACCTTTCCTGAGTCTGATACATGTGTAGTCTAGGATAACTAGAGGAGTCCTCAGGTAACGCAACTTCAGGAAAAAGATGAGGACAGACCCTGTCTTACCACTATGGTAAACAAAATACAATTATAATAGCTAGCATTTATTGAGCACTTCCTTTCTGCCAGACACTCTTCCAAGTGCTTTATGTGAATCTACTGACTTAATCCTTTCACAAGCACACAAGTTACGTACTTTAATTACCTGTGTTTTATAGCTAAGAAAACTAACTTACAGAAGGAAGTTGAATCATTTATCCAAGATCACCCAACTCAGAGAACTGAAGTCAAGTCCAAGCAATCCAGATGGTAGCAGGATATGAATCCTGTAAGTATGAAAGGTCTGGCTATATCTTAGATAATCTATCATGAGGTGATGCATAGTGGGTCCTTATGTCCTGTCCCTCCCTCCATTCTTGATGTGAAATATTAAGTGAAGTGAGGAATCACCTTCAGTTTCTCAGTGGAGGAGGAGGCAAGATAGGGGAGCGGGGGAGGGCAAAGATAGGCAGACAAGAAAAAAGGGTTGGAAAGATTCTGGGGGCAGCCATTGTGCGGAATGGGAAGAGAATTCAACCAAGAAGAAATAATAGTACAGAGCATTGTTCCTCGATAGATGTTTACTGAGTACTATTTATCTCATGATGTGGAGGTATATGGATGCAAAAAAACAGCCTTTCTTTTCCAGGCAAATGCAGCTGGGGACCCAATATACCAAAACAGCTGCAAAGAAGGAGGGATAAGATAACAGCCAAGTGAATGTATGCAGTAAATGCAAAATGAATTCAAAAATAACTATGGGAATGTGTCTTGGAGGACATTGCAGTACTTGAAGAGTGTTTAGAACTTTAGCAGGCAAAGATGGGTGGCTGTTAGGGAAGGTTAAATTGAGAACAATTAAGTCTGGTGTGGGTCATAAAGAAAAGGTAGGACAATAACCTTTTTGGATGTAGACATAAAGGTAGGACATTACAGGCACAGAACTTAACATCAATAGACCAAAAGTATGGAAGCACCAAACCAGCTCACTTTTACCCACGACACAGTCTTGATGTAATTAGATCACATCTGGGTCCTTTTTCTAGAGAGCCTTTGTGTGGCAGGCTGAAAAGTTGGGACTTCTCCCAGGAGACATGAGGAAGCCATTGGAAGTTTGGGAACTTTGGAAGAATTTAATTATAGTGATGTTTTAGTAACATGATGGTAGCTGACATGAATTACAGGTTGGAAAGCTATGTAACAGTCCAGGCAAGAAGCACTCAAGACTGTTTCTTCACTGTTTAAATTGCAGCACGTGCTGTAATCATCAGGAGAATCCTTCCTTTGGCCTCATTATCATAGATTCATCAGTTTCCCCCCTTTTCTCCCTATCTTTGGTGTCTTTGATTTCTGGTTCTTTAATTCCTCCAAATTTTTACTCTTCTTCTTAGCTCCTACCCTTTCCTCTTGGCCTTGTTAACTTGTCTTCCACTGCTCTATGTGTATGAGCTGTTCTGCTCTGATCTGACTCGATTCAGAGAGTAGGCCTGCACATTTCAGCCCCACCACAGAGATTTCAATCAACTGAGGCCCTAACTCACTCCATTCCTTATGTTACTGCCATATCCCATAATATTTGCTTAGCTGTAATGGTTACTAATGTTTGATGTCATTTTATTATTTAAATTCAGTAAAATATTTCTGCCTTTTTTTCATGGGATTATGACTAACAGAGGAGCATGTTAAACTTTGTGTTTGTGAATAGAAGATAAGGATAGTAGCTCTAGTAACCCTGTATGTTTCTTATCATTTTACTAAGTTTTCACATAATTTTATTCAAATTTGAAAGTCTTTAAAATTAAAGACAGAAAATCATATACATTAACTTGATGTTCCCCTTAAAATACTAAAATATTGCCATTGGTTTCTATTGGTTACATTGTTTTTCTATTTAAGAAATTATCAGTTTCCGCCTTCTCTTACAGTGACTTAGTATCCAAAACATAGTGAACATTTAACTATATGAGGTGAAAATATATTAAAAAAAAAAATGAATGAAAATGAATAGAAAGAAGTCTTGAATCTAGAATATGGATATATCTACACACATACACAATATGTCCCTATGCCATTTGAATCCATAATAACCTTCCTTTAAAAGCATCATTGCAGGGGCGCCTGGGTGGCTCAGTTGGTTAAGCGACTGCCTTCGGCTCAGGTCATGATTCTGGAGTCCCGCATCGGGCTCCCTGCTGGGCAGGGAGTCTGCTTCTCCCTCTGATCCTCCCACCTCTCATGTGCTCTCTATCTCATTCACTCTCAAATAAATAAATAAAATCTTTAAAAAATAAAAATAAAAAAAATAAAAGCATCATTGCAGTAGTTTCTAAGTATCTCAAAATTATTTTTAAGTTAAGGCTTTAGGAAAGTAGTAATTTTGAGTAATTAATGCTTAATACAAATGTACCAAAGGCAATAAGAAAGCATTTATAAGATCAACTTTTTAATTATGAGATATTTTATAAATGATTCAGTCCTACACTTCTGCTTGCACAATTCCACATGAAACCTTTTTTCTTCTTTTTTTTTTCAGTGGAAGAGGACAATCAAACTTGGTTTTATCTTGAGAGCTCAAGAAAGGGTAAAAAATGGGTAGCAAGAAGTCTTTTTTGTGGAAAATGAATCCATTTTGAAGTTCAATGGGAAGAAGCAATTTTTGAATTTTGTATAGAAAATTTATCTAACTTCATAATTAACTTGATTATTTGATTTATTATGTAAACAAAGTATAATGTTTCTTAAAGCCTACAAATAACCACTTTTTCTAACCATGAAAGATTAAGTGAAAACAAAGGGAGTGGACAAAAATGGGAGGGGGTCACAGATCTGTATCTGCATGGAGGAAGAGGGCAGTACTTTGGGGGAGTGCAATTTACATGAGCATCTGGGTCTTTTGTCATGTTTTGGATGGATGACCTGAGTCTGATATATTGGTGAATAGCATTAAGAAAGGTCTGGTTGTCAAAGGCTAGAAAGAAAAATGCAATTAGCCACAGCAATGAGGTGATGTCTGTGTTTGGGGGAAAAAACTGACACCTAACTGGCAATAGAAAACACTGAAATGATAACATCAGTAGAAGACCAGATTGTGTGTGTGTGTGTGTGTGTGTGTATCTATTATATAATGATCTTAACTCAGTAGGATATGACAAAAATGTCATTTTTTGGTACTATTTGGCTTATGTGATGAAAGTGAATGTGTACCTGTTACCAAAGAAATGACATGAACTCAATGCATTTTTCACTCATGACACACTAATTTCACCAACCTGACATTCGCAATACTGTTTGTTTCTATTAAAGAAAATTAGAAATAAATAAAAGTGCACTTGGAGTCTAAAAGAAGTTTTCTCTTTTTCGGTCTATTTTTTTTTTTCTTTATAAACCATGCCATCCATAGTAGAGAAGCATATCTAATCTCCCAATTAGGTCAGGCCCCAGGATAATCAATCTCTTTAACAGCAGATGCCTTGTTTTAGCAAATGAATGCTTGGTTTCAAAAGCAGTTTTGTGTTGAGAGAGGAGTGCAGTTGGCACGGGTGATTAGAACTCTTTTAAACCCTATAAAAAGCTTCTGTAGATTGTTTTATGCCCACACTTTGTGAACTGAAGTAAATGTTGTATATCTCCATCTTAAAATGAACATGGTGGGGACTTTATACAGTCTGTGAGAACATCTACATGCATATAAATGGAATTATTTGAAGTCCAACATTTTTATGGCCATTTGAATTAAACTGTGATTTCAATAACATCTAAAACTAGTGAATATGTTTTAAGTAAGTGCTCTTCATGTTAATTAAATATACTCCTTAAGTAGTATAACTTAATTATTAGGTTAGCATTTTTTAAACTGAAAATACAATGGCAAGTTAACACGATTCTTACATTTATTGTTTGGCCTACATTTACATTAGTCTGTAAATGCCTTTCTTTGTGTCTGATGCCTTTTCAGTTCATAGTCACATCCATGTGTAAATGAGCAGTGTGCAAGCCAACTTTGAAATCAAGAAGAAATCATTTAACAGTAAAGTTTATAAACTGTATATTAAGTCAAAACTATAGATTGACTTTATTTTGCTCAAAACAACTCATTTAATATATGATAGACTGAAATATAGTGACATACCTTTCACTGTGGTATAACAAAAAAATCTCTAAGACTTCAGTAAATTATTTCAGATAATATTGTTCAAAATCTGATTGCTGGAACTCATCAGTGAGGCCTGAATGTGATACATAAAATAATTCAGAAGGCCACAGGAGTATGTATTTCCTTTTTTAAGAGAGTAGTCACATAATTAAAAGCATTGAGTTGAAACATTTGCAAGGTAGTTAAGAAAAAAAAGCATTCACCTGCATATTTGGGATGTTCTCATTTCAACTTTATTGTAT